ACGGTTTGAGCTGTGCGAGAGTAGGCAGGTGCTTCTCGTCTAAATCTCTTCAAGTATATGTTCTTGTTCAATGTGCAAATCACAGCTGTGTCAAAGAAGAGCTTGAGAAGATTGCCGAAGGTCGCTGCCAAGACTTCATCAAGAGCGGCTGTCTGCGATACAAAAGTGCCTGATTTGTGCTATCAGTTGTTGTTGGTGGCGATGCTCAGGAAATGTCATTTACCAAGTGAAATCCAAAATCCGCAGGCGTTTTGTGTCAACAGTTTTGTTTGGTCAGTAGCTTCTCCTCTCGTGCTCACTTGACAGCAATGCCGAAGCCTGTGGTGATTAAGCACATCTTGAAGGAGAGACCGTGGCTCTTGACGCTTTGAAGAAGAAGAGCTTGAAAACTCTTCGTGCTCGTCATCTCAAAGAACCAGAGATTGAGGAAGGTGCTTCGTGTCCAGCTTCGGTGGTGTCCATCATTGACCCTATGCTTACGAAAATGACGGAGGTTAAGACCAAAGTGAGTAGTGGAGAGAAGATTTTGACACCTGCCATTGATGCTCTTGATGACAACCAGCTCAAACTTCTTGCGGCCATCTATCCCGAGGATGAAATGGAGCGAACCAGCTACTACTCAGAAGACCGCGTGGTGTCTTCTGCCTATGCTATGTTGAAGGAGCTTGAGACTCTGGACAGGTCAATGGAGTATTTGCGGAGAACCAAAAATCAGCTCTTGGAAACATATTTGCCTGCCTTCATCAGTGAGTTCTCCGTCTTGAAGAGCGGAGAGATGGTCTTCAACAACAGTATCTTCAAGAAGCTCATTTACGACACCATAAAGTATAGGCAGGGCATCAGAAGAGGAATGGAGCAACCGCAAGAAGACCTGAATGTCAGTGATGCTCAGGAGCGTAGATGTGCTATAATGTAGCATTGCTACATTCTGTTTTTTTGTAATTGGGTTGTGGCAGTGTTTCATTTTTTTGGAGAACAGAGGGACTACATGACGCAGGATTTGGGGTCAAAATGTGAAAGGATTTGGGGTCAAAGTGTCGCAGGATTTGGGGTCAAAGTGTCGCTGGATTTGGGGTCAAAGTGTCGCAAGGTTCGCGTCAAAGAGTCCCAGACCATTAGAGACATTGCAAGTGCCACAGTGTAACCCGTTCAACTGGACGAAAACCGCCCATCATTGGGATAACAAGTTCTACCTGTTTAACAGCAGTTGCTACACAAACAAATTGGGGTCGCGGTTGAGAAAAAAAGACCTTGCTTTATCGTTTATATCAGCATGTGAGTCATGAGCCACCTTTTGTTTATTTTTTGTTCACGCCGCTCTGAGGTTCAGAAGACAACGACAGCAACATCTACAAGACTGACAGGTTCAAGGCGTCGGCGGCATCACCTCTTTTTTCTCTTTTTGGGTCGTCCCCCTTAACTGTTTTTTGGACTCATCCCATCTAATTGTTCGGGTTTCCCACCTAAACCCACATTTCAAGGTTGAGCTCAAACCAGACTGTTTTCAATGTTGAACCCAACCCCAATCCCATAACCACCAAACATAAACAAAACTACTTAAAGAGAAAATACCTTATATAGTATAGAGAAATGGCAGGGGAATACAGCACGGGTTCAGTAATTGAATATTTAATATCCACTTTGCGAGGCCTCGGCGCGGCGTCGACTTTGACTTCAAGAGCGGGGAGCCCCGTTTTTTCTTTTTTGCGGCAGGCGACACCGTTCCCGGGCAAAACAATCGGCCAGGCGCGCGGGCCCAAGTTCAGCTCCCGCGCCGCAGCCTCGGTTGACGCAGGCTTTTTCGGGCGACGGGCCGCGGGTCTCCGAATTCAAAACGGCTCCGCGCAGACGAGGGCCCGGGCGGAGTCGACCACGCCCAACAATTTCAGGCGGGCGGCTTTTGCGGTTTCGTTTCCGGCGGCGGGTCTCATTGATTTCGCTGCTTGAGAAGCGGGCCCCTCGCTGCGCGAGTCAAAATCGTTTTAGCTTCGGCCCTTAACTCCGGCCAGGCGCACAGCCTGGGTCAATCTGCGACTCGCTGCAGCCGGCCGTTCGCCCTCCGCGCGTCTCGAAACTTACAGCAGCAATTTTTGCAAAGCTGGTGAGCGCCATACATTCTTTGAAAAGCTAGCGCGCGCGACGAAAGTTATAAGCAGCTTGTGCCCTCGGCTTAAAGCAACCGACGCTAGACACAGCAAGGCGAGACCATGATTTCTGTAAAAAAGCAGGTCCTGTCGCGCTGGGGAAGGAGGGAGGGGCACGTCGATGAACGGAGGGGGCGATTACTTCAAACTTCCACGAAGTTGCCCCGAGTTCCAGGACTGCCTTGTAAGCGAGTTGCTGCGTTTTGCCGCAACCTTGCAAATCTGCGCCGCGCGCTGCCGCTTCAGCAACTCAAGCTCTCGCCGCGCGCAAGATATCGCGTTTGTTTTCACTTCCTCCTGACACCCTCATGTTCGCGTTGGCAGAGTGTGGGAGGACCTCAGCACAATTAGCACGAGGCCTGGAAATCGCAGAAGCTTTCTCAATTCTCCTATCCTGCCTGCCTCAGGACCGGATTTTAATGTGGCCGGACGCCGCACAGGCAGAGGTTGTCCTGGAGACATGGGCTCGGGCCTCACGCGCTGCGCTCAGGCGCGAGCAAGAACTGTTCCCTGAGACTCCAACGTGTGCACTATTTGCACACATTCAGCTCCGTGCTCCTGAGAAGCAACATTCCCTACAAAATAGCCAATGTTCGCTCTGGAGGCAACATTCGTTTTCTTGTAGTTTCTATGGGTTTTATCGTTTCTATAAAGTCCCCACCCGTCGAATGGGATTCTCCTTTTTGATCGCTCGATCGCCACACATTGCCAAATAAATGCCCCGCCCGGCAAAGCAAATCTTTGCATTGCAATCTCAGAAACAGATTCGTCCGCTGTTCCACTCCAGATTTGGGGTTTGTTCTGTGGGTATGGCCAGCGGGCCTGGTGAACCATTAAACTTCTGCGCCGGGGCAGGAGCTCCACTTCGAAGCCCCAACAAGATCCCTCATCCATACCCAACCCAGCAAAGAAACTCATGAGGTTGATGTTCATAGCGGATCTCGGCCGGCTGGGAAGGGGAGGCAGGGAACCTACCGCTGAGCCCACGCTCGAAGCCTCAAGCTCCAGCGAAGGAGAACTCTGGTCTCCAGCATGCGCCTATGTACTCGCTTGGATAATCCTTTGATCACCCCTAAATGATCCTCATCTAAATAGCAGTGGTATGCTTTGCAGCTGTACAGTTCGCAAACCATAGAGCGATTGAGCCCCTGGCAAACCTCAGTATGCAATACCACTCCAAGTCGATGACACATGTGAACGCCTTCAAACATTTTTGCTTGATGATTGAGGCAAGGGGCATGCAATTTTGGCTTCAAAGGCCATCTCAACACTCCCAGAGATTGCAGGACAGCCAGTCGTGTAAGTGTTCAGGAACCTTAGATGCTCGCCCCACGAGGTTCTTCCATATTCGCTTGGTGCATGATGCATCCAAGGTGGTTCCACTCCGCCAATCTTTGGCTGCAAAATAGTGACAAAGCGAGCGTGTTATGGCTCGATTGCTCCCCTGCATCAACATTAATGGGCCCAGGCCGCTGGTAGCAGTCTTGCAAGCATGACACGAGGAAGGAGAGCATGATCCTAGAACACCAAGCTTTGAGCTTGAACTCCGGATAGTCCTTGCCGTTTACAAAGAGGACGCCCCCAGGATGTGCGGCTGGTAATGCCTACGATGTTTTTTGTTTTAAACAACGTATTTTGTGGGGTTATCTGATCATGTAACTCGACTACTTAAATGTTGACATCAAAAATGTATGGTGGCCAAGATGCCTGATCCAACAAGCACGGCACCACCGGTTGAACCGCAGCTTCAGCTTGTCGAGTTGGCCCCCAAACTTGCCACGTCCTCAGGCTGCAGGAGCAGACATTTCATCGCTTGGGTGCCCAACAAAATTTAAGAAGTGACAGAACTGTTCAAACAACTACTGCGTTCAAGAGAGGATCCGAAGTACTTCCTTCCATGAGCAAAAGTGTGCAGCTGGCATTCACCCATTGGCAAATGCCTAAATGGACCGTGTGCATACTGCAGAAGCGAATGCAGTCTGGGTGGAAGAAGAGTTTATACCCTGATGTAGGGATATGAAACTAGCAAAAGCTGCCAACAGGTGAACTGGTGCTCCCCCGCTCTTGAATTGGCATTGCATTTATGACAGATGTAGCCACCCCTGCCAGTATAGAATCGGCGAAGGGACCAGGCCTTGAGGTGCCACTTCCAGTCTCCCCTAACCTCCACAACGGTGTACCGTGCCGCCATCTGTTTCCCTGATCTTTGTTTCCGGATCGCGTCCAGCTCGTTGTTGTACGGCCCCAAGCTTTGGAAAACACCCGTGTAAGTAACCTTGGCTACTCAGGTTCGAATCAATTTCAAAATAGCTACCCCCCTGATCGATACACTTTTTGCAGGCTGCGCGGGCGGGCTTGCAGAGCAGGCACTGAGGTTCGGTACGTTTGGGTGAAGGGCTGAGGGGAAACAATACCTGGACCCTCCGGCGGCAGAACTTTCTGCCGAAAGGCCCCGGCGGCAAAAATTTCCGCCGAAAAGCTCAAAAAACGCCGCCCGCAAGAAAAAACGCCGAAACGCAACAAACACTCCGACATGCTGAAACCTGCTTCCGCGAAATTCCGCCGATTTCCCGCCGAATTCCGCCGATTCCCCGCCGAATTCCGCCGATTTCCTGCTGCCTGTTTTGCACACAACTTGATTTTGAAAAAAACGCTGCCAGGGAAACTAAAAACGCCGCCAACAGCAAAAAGGCGCCTTTTTCCAAAAAGGCAGAAACTTTTGCCGATTTGGGTGGTCCAGGCATGAATCTCCCTACTTTTATACCAGCAAAGGGGTTTGACAGCGGATCCGGATACGCCAAGGCGCGTTTAATGACCACGTCGCCACTCTGAACACTGGGAACAGCGACTCTTTGC